GTACATGGAATAGTTAATTTAGAACCTCGAGAAAACCTTGAGTAAAACACGAATAAAAGAATATTCTGTACAAAGGAAATTAAAGGAACCATCCCTTAAAGTAAAATATTTTTACTAACAACGACAGAAGTTTTCATTTCACATAAATTTATCATCATAATTACGAGTGCGCGAAAGATGAATGGGTAGTAATATAGTCCATCAGAAGATGCTCCATCTAATTATAACAGTAGATAAAAGGGGAAAATCGACTCCACCCTGTGAAAGAGGAAGAAAATATCTGGTTTCATCCCCTTCGAATCTGAAAAGGATAAAAAGGAGCAGTTGCAAGAAAACTTGAAAACCATCCTTCACAAAGGCTTACTCAAACAAGGAATACGAAGTTGAATCAATCAATAGCCGAGCTAAAGTCGAGATTACAAGCTTGCATAAAACAGATATGGATCATCGTGGTTGTGAAAGGTCTTCATTGTCTCATATAAACTTTGGGTATGTTCTAAGCGAATCCAAGCGTACGTGCACATCCTTAAGTTTGAAAGATTCACTAACAGACTGTAGGTACTAAATATTATTATATATTATACTAACTACTACTATACTAAATAGACTACTAAAAGATTCAATAACAGACTGTAGGTATTAAATATTATTATATATTATACTAACTACTACTATACTAAATAGACTACTAAAAGATTCAATAACAGACTGTAGGTATTAAATATTATTATATATTATACTAACTACTACTATACTAAATAGACTACTAAAAGATTCACTAACAGACTGTAGGTACTAAATATTATTATATATTATACTAACTACTACTATAGTAAATATTGAAACAAATATTATCATAACCGTCGGAACTGTTCAACCACTATTTTACAAAGGTAATCGAATTACTTAAAGTACCGTGGATGTGGAAAATACTTTTTCAATTACTCTAATTAACGATAAAATCCGCGAACAAAAATAATTCAGTGAAAAATATGGAGCATACGCGTAACAAAATTTAAAAATATACGAACTACTCCACACCGTAATTTATAAATAATAATGGCACATTAAAAAATATTACGCAGAATGTTTCTAATCAGAGATGGTACAGCCAAAAAATGGATGACTATGTAACGAAGCATATTAGTATTTTCAAGTAGAATTGGCAGATTTTGATCGGACGTGTCGATCGATTTTCATTGAACAGCGCGCGCAGTTAACGAAATTTTTATTTCAATTTTCTCGGATAGGATGCCTGGAACAACAAAATTTTATTTTACATTTTCGATTCACGTTTCCATGCAGATTCATCCTTCTTCGTAATATTCGATCGTATTTGTGTACTTCACGCGAGAACGTCTGTTATCAAAATACAAAGTAAATTAAACAAAAATTTCGCACATGTGCAAAATTGAATTGCAATTGTTGAATAACGCTTATAGGTATTTAATATAATTTTACTGAAGACTCGCTCTGAAAATTTGTCCGGTATTCATGGTTTTGAACCTGTGAGAGTAACGGGTCTGGCCAATACGAGCAATTTCTACTTATAAAGCACTCTCGAATTCATGAAATCATGGTGAAAAGTGCTGAAACTCTAAAGTCGTGCACTTATAAACATTAAATTAATTATAAACATTAAAATCGCAGTTCATGCACAGTAATATGTGTATTTCCAACTGTACTATGTAATATTTAATATTTACTTTATTATTAATTCTTTTAGGACAATTTAGAACATCTATATAATTTTCTTAATTATCATAAGCTGTCAGAGCTGTTTCAATATTGTTGAAAAATGTAAAAACCGATAAACGTAAATGCTGCAACTGATAACTGATAATTCTAATTTCGTTTCAATAAACGACGAAACTAAATTAACGAAAGGGAGTAAATAAATGTAAAGCTGTTGTAGTATTGTAATCCCAGCATTACAAAAATTCAGCAATTTGTAAACTATGGATATCTACGCTATCATGGCATCTGCAAATTTATAAAGTACAGGAAAGCTTGAACCGTAGCTGCTTAAAGAAATAAAACATCAAAATATAAAAACCACATTCTGTGTACAGTCGACATATTATTATCCAGTGCTGAAAATACTCGACCCTCGGTAAAGCATTAAAATACAATCTGTTCAAACGCGAAACAAATGTTAAAAATGTAAAAGGCAAAATTTTTTAAAGCGAGCAAACTTTTGTTGGTAAAGAAAATTTGAAAGACTCGTGCAACAGTCACGCTCTTAACAATCTTTTCAATCTGAACTTTCTTAATATAAAAATGATCTTGGAATATGCTGTAACAATGTTAATGATGTCTCAGAGTCACCACTCGAGTGCAAAGGGTTAAACAATTTCTTAAAAATGTGTCGCAGTCCGTTGCTAATCGAGGATAGACAGTCGATGCAGCAGGAACCACACGCGGAAACCGAAAAAGTATTCGTTGCATCGTTGAAAGCTTAAAGCGGAGAGGTTGTTGCCCCCTGAAAGGTAAGGGAACCGCCTTGTGATGTTCGTCGAGGGTACCATCTCGAGGGTACGTCGCGCGGGGGTGCGACACGTCGAAAGTGCTCTGCGTGGGGCGAGCTGCGTGCGGCGTGGAAGTAACGTCTCTCCGTCGACGAGACCTGCAAAAGATTTCACCGAATGGGCAAATTCTGCCGGCGGAACACTCGAGGTAGCTCCCGCGACGGAAGTATCTCTTTCCCGGACGAGAATCCGTCGACGACTGGCACCCAGTGGTCGCGGAATCTCCGAATAAGAAGATGAGAAGAATTTCTAGAGTAAACCGGAGAAAGCCCCGAAAAGTAAGAACGTTCGAACGCGAACAATTACGGTGGAAGTAGTTCGCGGTGAAATAGACAGTCAGGTGAGAAGGGAGCTCGCAGGAACGAGGGGGGTGTTCGCGGTG